ATTATTTTGAGCAGACCGATTCCAAAGAACATAGCATGCAAATATAAGCAGTCTAATGCATGAAAATATAAAGACGTGTAAATTTTGAAATCATACAGGCTGGCTTAAATTTTTTAAAATTATAACATAATTTAAAAAAAGCTTCAATATCGTAAACAAGCAAAAAAGCTTCAAAATAATAATTTTCACTTTAAATGGAAACATATAAAACATAAGCTATCCAACATATAAAAAATATTTAAATGAAAATTTGGTCTAAAAAATAAAAAGCTGAACATGTTCTTAAAAATCTTCACCATTAGAGCAATACAAGTTTTGAACTGAAAAAATATATTCGACATGTTTAGTAGCAAAATAGTGCTGCTAAGTCTTAAATGTGCTAAGTAAGGAATTTAAAAAAACTATGAATTTTAATCTGATTAATATTCACAAAAATATAGAAAATTATATTTTTTCTGTTGCTTCTTCAAAAGAAAATCCATTTAGTGTGATGGAAGCATTTTACTTCATTACAAATTGTGTTTATGCAACAAGAGGATATGGGCCGCTTAGTAAAAATGTGGTATTTTGTCATCTATGATATGCATATTGTTGTGTGCGTACGTACGGGTTCGTTACGAAATGAATGCACAAGTCCGATGAAAAATGAAGAAAATTTATTATTATCACAACAAATATGATTAAATGTCCTCAAATAATCATGCAGTATCACAATATATCACAGTAGTATCTTCTAACTACGCAAACGTTCAAGAGAACTTAATTCAAAACAGCTAAAGAAAGCTAATCAGCGAATTCGCTACAGTCAACAAGAGCAGTTTTCTAAACAACAACAAACTAAGTAACTAACTACGAACTGAGAGATATTCCTCCTTTTATAAGATTTTTAAATCACGCGCGAGAATTTTCTAGTACTTTCTCAAAATCAAAAAGAGATATTTATTAAATGTTACATGAACGTGCTCTTGTATTTTAAATTTTCCGGCTTAGCTTTCTTTTAATATTCGGCACGTGCTGCACTGCACGGGAAATAAAACCATTTATTTATAATTCAACTAACATTAGCTATTTAAATACCAAATCCGTAACTCTGCCCCCTTCCCAAGGACTGCACGTCCCGGGCAGTACAATCCCTGGGCAGTATAATCCCTGGACAGGAAGCCAAACTTACAACTGTGGCATAAATGCAGTAATAAGCATTTCATTACAATAATAAACAACATGAACAAAATCAAATGTTATTAAATACTAAATACAAATCAAATACTAATTGGAAATCAAATACTAAATACAAATCAAATCAAATGCACATTTAAAAACAAAAAGGATCATGGTCTTAAACTATTTACAATTATTTACATTACGTACTATGGCCATAGTAATGAGCTAACCTGTCGTAATGAACGACTTTAGGTTTAGAGTTCGAAGACTTACGGATCCGAACCACGACGTCATTCAGCCTGTTTAGGACCGTGTACGGACCATCCCAAGGTGACTGTAATTTCGGACAAAGTCCTTTCCGTCGAGTCGGATTCCACAAGCACACCTTGTCTCCTTCATGGAATTGATGTTCCGTAGCTCTTGTGTCGTATCGGGTCTTCATCTTCTCTTTCGCCAAGTTGACTCGCTCTCGTGCAAAGTTGTGCATCACTTCAAACCGGGCCTGGACATCTTGGATGTATTTCTCAGGCGATAAAGGCGCGTCCGTAGGGCGACCATACAAGTCACAAGGCTGACGAAGGTCTGGACCGAAGAGCATCTCGGATGAAGAATAGCCAGTAGTCTGGTGTTTCTCTCCAACCCTAGTATGATTTCGGCAGCTTTCTGAGCTGGGTCTTTCAGACCAGGCGTAGCCGTTTCCAGGTGAGGATCCCTTCTGACGATGGATAGTCGTGTCCTCAGATGTTGACAGCAGTTTGTTGTTTTTGAAGTCTAAGGAAAAATTGTATTTCCTTAAAAAGTCCAATCCGAGTATGCATGGATCTGTAATATCCGCCACATATGCCGTGTGATGGTAAGCGGCACTTCCAAACATGATGTTCACGTTTAACTTCCCAGCTATGTCGATCTTATCACCAGATGCAGTCTGAAGGCTAATACAGGATGGCATCCAAATAAGTTTATCTTTAATCCATTGAGCTAAATCTCTCCGAATGATGGTAACATTAGCTCCTCTGTCAATGATCATATTGCAAGGAACTCCATCGATGTGCCCATTGACGGTCAGTCCGTTACTATTGCCACTCACTGAGAAATCTTGAGTGCTTTAAAACAAGGTTTTTCATTCTCTGGCAACCTCCGTTCCTCGATATGGCCATTAATTTGTTTCCTGCGTCGTTGCTGGGAAATGATCTTATTTTCCATAACCTGGGATGTTCTGCAATTCTTCCGTACGTGGCCTTCACCTTCACAGTACCAGTTCTTCCGTACGTGGCCTTCAGCTTCACAGTACCAGCACTTTGGTTACTTGTCACTCCTTTTCCATCCCATGGCATTTAGCTGTCTGTTTAACCCGCCTCTCTTATTTTCCGTGCTCTGGGGTGTTCTGCAGTTCCTTTGTATGTGGCCTTCAACACCGCAGTTCCAGCACTTTAGGGTTGGTTTCTTCTCACCAGTATTCCGTCTTAAGGCATTCACTGGTCTTATCAAATCATCTCTTTATTATCCGTGCCCTGGGGTGTTCTGCAATGCCGTCGTATGTGCCCTTCAATACCACATTTCCAACATTTTAGAGTCACTTTGTTCTCACTCCCGCTCCCTATCAAAGCGTTGACTTCTTTGGCTAATTCATCTAAACGAGCCATCAGTTGATCCCCTGGCTTATGGACTCGCACAGCTCTGACTGGGTAGCGATCTCGATGAGTTGCTTGCTGGGCTGCCTGCAAATTCACGGTGTACAACAGAGCTCTTTTTACATCTTTAACATCCGCCATTCGCAGAGCCTTCTGTATTTCGGGATCCTGGTTGCCATCGATAAAATATTGCAGTGACAGGATTTCTCTTATTTCTGTCGGGCACTCCGAAAAGGCGTGATGTGACAGCCTTTCAACATCCGTGGCGAGCTCCTGAAGGTGTTTTGGTGGGTTTCTGCTGACAGGATTTTAGTTGAAGCTTGCTGTTTAAATAGCTAATGTTAGCTAATGTTAATGACGGGATTTTAGTTGCTAGTCTTTTATACATTTCTCGCCAAAGCGCAGCTCCAATGCGCCGGATAGAGCTTCGAAGTCAAGTGTTTGGTTTCCTGGAAGCGTCTGCAGGATATCCGCCGCGTCTGCTCTCAAAGAAGCGGCAAGATGACAGGCGTTGGCTTGGGGGATCCCATCCATTTGCTTCTGCCACTATAGAAAACTGTGTCTTATATGCTTGCCAGGAGGTCTTCCCATCATATGTCGATAGCTTCAGAGAGGGACGAACAGGCATGGGTAGAAATTTTAAACCATCGGAAGTGCTCCCTACCGTCGCTATGAATTTCTTTAAAGTGTCAACTTCTTTGCCGACGACAGCAGAAATTCTGTCTTCAATTTGTTGTTCAGTATGTCCTTGGACGGCAGAAACTTTCTTCAATTTGTTGTTGGAAGGCCGAAACTCTTCTTTCGACTCGTAGCTCCACAGCCGACACTCTATCTTCTATTTCATCTTTGACAGAAGAAACCTTTTCTTCAATTTGCCCGACTTTATTTTTAACAGCTCCTATTCTGTCTGCCATAGCCTCAAATTTACTTTCTATTACACAGGTTATTTCTCTTTTCATTTCATCTTGACCTGCTCCAATCTTTTCTTGTACAGCTTTTATGTCTTCTTTAAAAGATACTTGACCAGCTTCCAACTTTTCGTGAACGGCTTCCATTTCTTTTTTAACGGATTCTTCCATCTTTTCCTGACCAGATTTCATCTCATCTTTCATTTCTTCTTGTCCCTATTTTATTTCTTGCTGGCCCGTTTTCATTTCCTGTTTAGATGCAGCAAAGGCTGATATAAGCTGTCTTAACTGCTCTTCCATCGCTCTTGTGATTGGCATTCGAGCCCCACTCCTGACACCAAAAATTGTTGCGTGCAGTACACGGTTCGTTACGAAATGAATGCACAAGACCGATGAAAAAATGAAGAAAATTTAATATTGTTCACAACAAATATGATTAAATGTCCTCAAATAATCATGCAGTATCACAATATATCATAGTAGTATCTTCTAACTATGCAAACGTTCAAGAGAACTTAATTCAAAACAGCTAACGAAAGCTAATCCGCGAATTCGCTTAGTCAACAAGAGCAGTCTTCTAAACAAACTCTATAAAACAACAACAAACTAAGTAACTACAACGAACTGAAGAGGTTTTCCTCTTTTTATAAGATTTTAAAATCGCACGCGAGAATTTTCTAGTATTTTCTCGAAATCAAAGAGAGATATTTATTAAATGTTACATGCACGCATTCTAGTATTTTCAATTTTCCGGCTTAGCTTTCTTTTAATATTCGGCACGCGCTGCACTGCACGGGAAATAAAACCATTTAATTTATAATTCAACTAACATTAGCTATTTAAATACCAAATCCGTAACAATATTATGGGTACATACAAATATGTTATATACTTTTATTCTTGTTCATGCCCTAATTCAACCACTTCCGGATAAGGTAAACTATTTGTAACATAAACCATTCTTTTGTTCACTGTGAATGTTCATGTAAACATGGTTCAAATGTATGAGAATTTAGCCTTTTGTAAGCAATTGTTTAATTATTAATATATTAATAAATGATTTAATAATTTTCACTGTGAAATGTAAATATTAATTTAGCAAAGTAATGTTATTTAGCTATATATTCTGAAGATGCAAACTCATATCTGAATGTCCATATTTGATTAAAAAATAAGATACAACTCAGGATAATTTTATACATGTATATTATCATAACCCCAAGCTTTATTTTCCTTATATAAATTTCAAGTATTAAACTGTACATTTGCTTGCTTTAAGATTGAACTTTATATATTTTAGAAAACCTCTTGTGCCGTTTGATGTATTGCAACAAAAAATGCAAGGTCGCCGAATGATCAAAATGTCGTTTATTAAGAACTGCATCAAAGGTGGTGATATTGAAGGTGACTGGGTTACAATGGGGGTTATAATACAAAAAGTGCCTCCTAAAACAGCAAAAAATGTAAGCATATAAAATTTTAATTTATTTAAATTCCTCACTTATGCATTAATACATATTATAAAATATTTATATGTATGTAAAATATTTTTTACATTGAAGAATAAAATGATGTCTTCCACATACATGACAAACATTTATTTAAACTATGAAAGATGTTGAACAGCAGAGTAGAAACATGATATTACACAGCGCTTCGCACTTCTCTCTTACATGCAATACTCACCATTGACTGTGGTTAACTACATAGATAACTACATAGATAGTAATACGCAGCAGAGAACTTGCTTATCATGCGCATGCGCTAGGGGAATCGATGGCGGTTGCCAACATACCCCCTTTCGACGTCGATTCTTCTATTCCTGAAAAGTAAAATAAAATGCATATTAAACAGTATTCAATCCTATAATTGTACTACAGTTTTGATGTTTAACGGGAGTCAGGGGTTTGGTTACACATCAGCTCCCATTCCACTGGTAGGTATGTACTGCACATCTAATTCACTGCGTTCATATACTTCATGCACAAAATGATGGCGAATGTCTATGTGCTTTGTACAGGAGTGAAACACTGAGTTCTTCGTAATTTTCTGAGCTCCTTGATTGTCGCAGTATATTGTTGGGTGTTCTATGTTGTAACCCAGCTCCTTCAGGAAACGATGTAGGTAGACGGTTTCTTTGGCGGCCTCAGATAGAACCATATATTCCACCTCCGTTGAAGATAGAGCTACACTGCATTGTTTTCGTGATTCCCAGGTTATGGCTGAACCACTTAATATATATACAAAACCGGTGTAAGATTTTCTATCATTGACATTTGATGCCCAATCTGCATCCACAAAGGCGATGAGTGGTTTTCCTTGTTTCGTATAAATTAGTCCTGATCTTGTGTTCCCTTAGATATTGAAGTATTCTTTTCGCAGCATGCCAATTTCTTTTCCCGGATTGGTTGTTTATAGTGACTTCAGAAATTCCGGCGTATGTGATATCTGGCCTAGTGCTACTGAAAGGTACATTAGTGATCCGATAAGATTCTAAATGGAACATTTTCATGTAGGATTCGTTTCGTTTTTAGGCTCATCTATTTGCTGTATCTAGGTGAAGACACGATTTAGCATTTTGCATATTATACCAATTAAATATCATTACGTATTTCTTTGAGAAATTTAATTGATTCTCATTTTTTAAAATTCTGCCTAAGCAATAATGTAATTTCCCCAAGTCTTTCACTTTGAAAGAGAAGCTAAACTATCGCAATTGTTATACGTTGCTTAGGAATCGGTAAAACGATAAGATCATCACATAAATGATTATAATAGTTCACTGTTGCGTTTTTTGATAAAACTGATTATCTGAATTAGAGATTTAAATTTAAATTTTTGTTCAACTTTTGTACAACCGGTCCTGACTGTTTAAGACCGTTATGATATCTTTAAAATAACCTTATCTGAATTTTTCATCGCGAAATCCTTCGGAATTCCGGTATATTTCTTCTCTAAATTTCCATTACATAGGCCTAAAAAATCTAATTGGTACCTTTGAGATTGTGTTCTACTGCGTGGCTAAAACTGTTCTTATGGAACTTAATCTAGCAACAGGGGAAAAGTTTCAGTGAATCGAGACAGGTTTAGCGCCCCTTAGCAACTAGCCTAGCTTTGTATTTTTCGATAGTGCCGTCTGATATATTTAATTTAAGACCCATTTACTACCAATACATTCGTGTTTTAGGTCTTTACTAATTCCAAGCTTTTCTGACAAGCAAGTTAATTTAATAGCATGGCTTATGCAATTTCGCATATGTCCATAAGCTTCTTCACGTAGGATTATGCTTTCCTCACAACATTTTGAGTTTGTCATTTTTTTACAAAGTATAGTGATATTCCTTTTTAGGCCTTACGGCAAACCTGTTTTTGTTTTTGGGTTGACAGGCCCTTTTATCAGGATAGGAAGCATTGATTCGCTATTAAATCACTTCTGCTTTCTTTTCATATTCAGAGTAAGTGGCAACTCGCTGCATCAAGGTGATGATTTTTCAAACATGTTTTATTATATTTTTTCCTCGGAGCAAAGGCAGATTTTTCTTGCTCTGATATAACTACAGCAGTTTCAAACTCATAATAAATTTACGTCCTTATATCAGTTTACATGCCTCAGGATCCCAAAGTTAGTTTTGATCAATAGAATAGCCAAAAAATACATTCTTTAGATCGAATATCAAATTTGCCTATCCTGCTTATTTAGCGAATGTTTGGCCAAAGTTTGAAGTGAGAGGCAGCTGGTACTCTGCCAAACATCACTTCGGAGGTGTTTATTTCGCTTTTAACCTCGAGTTGGGACAGCGATTTCGAAGTAAGCAGCGATTGATGGCTTCGGCCCAGAATTCTGAGGAGATTGGATTGCAATAGCAAACTCGAGGCATCGAAACTAAAGTGTGATTTAATCTTTCGGCAACGCCATTCTGGGCTGGCGTGTAAGGAGTGCTCATTTTGTGTTTTATTAATGCATCGTTAAGAAATTTATTAATATCTTTCCCTAAATATTCTAGCCCGTTATCAGTTCGCAGAATTCTGATTTTAGAGTTTATATTCAAAAGGTGCTTTAAAATTTCTGAAAGCCTCTTTAACCTCATCCTTAGATTTCAGAAAATGAACAGGAACATATTGAGATTTATCATCGATAAATGTTGCGAAATAAAATGATCTGCCTATTAATTTGGTTCTCATGGGACCACACAAAGCAGAATGGATTAGATTTAACAATTCAGTACTTCTGTATTCAGATTCATTCAGGGTTGCGGTTTGTTTACCTTGAATGCATATCTTACAGGTAGAAAGAGAATCATTTTGAGAAAAAGACCATGTTATTTATTTGAAGTTTTTTAAGATCATTTTCATTTAAATAGCCAAATCTTATATACCACTGATATGTTTCTTTAGAAATTGATACAGATTCAAATATTGGAATGACAAAATAAAATCATTTTCGCGTTTAGCTAAAATTACTGTTTCGTTATTAGAATTAATATTTGAGCACATTTTTTCTTTGAAAATTACTGAAAGATTATTTTCAGTTACTTAGACACTGAGATTATTATTTTTCAAACAGGTAACCAATACTTTTTTGAGTTGTATTTCATTTTTGAACCTATGCGAACTTTAAATTCCAGTTCCTTTTCTAATAGCTTTAATTTATCAGCAGCAATTTAACATAAGTATCACCTACCTCGTGAATTTCTTGAAACAGTTTCTTGCTGTTACACATATGCGATGTTGCACCACTATCCAGACAAAAATTTCTTTGAATTACTATTAGTGCATGCTACGGCTTTTCTTGCTCCAAGGAATTCGATTTTATGAGACATCGCAGTTTCACTGAGGCATTGCTTTTATTTTTTTCTTTCTTTCCGATGCTCTATGCCCTAGATATGGCAGAAGTTGCATCTGTAGTTAACTGGATACTGTTTTGCAGACTTATCTGGTTCGGTTTAGGACCGGTCGTTGAGTTTATCCCGATCTTTTGAATAGAACACATGTTGGGTTCAGAAAAGTGAATCTTTATTTTTGCGCGTTAGCTTCTTCCAACAGTTTAATTTTCAGCATTTTGGAGGAGGCAGTTCATCACGAGATTCGATGCTATTCGAAAGCTTTCATAAGAGTCCAGTATGTTATATAAAGCAATATTGTAAGCAAATCATCCGCAATGTTTTATTTCCATTTCTTTCAGTTTGTCCACAAAAATGAAAAAATCATTTAGATGATCATTCATTGTTTAGAATCACTCATTTTTGTAAAAAGCAATTTTTTTAGAATTGTGGCCTTTTCTAGCTGGTCCCTTCGATTCGTAAATAGAATGCAATTTACTCCACAGTTCGTGAGATGTTACACAATTCTTTACTTGTGGGAGTTCGCTGGGTAAGATGGATAAGATTATATCCGCTCGTGCCTTTTTGGTCAGTAGTTTTCCATTTAGCAAATTCTTCATCACCAGGTTCTGGTTTCGGAATTTTCCCAGTTACGTAGTCCCAGTGATCATTTTTAATCAGTATTGCTTCCATTTGCAACTTCCACGTGTCAAAGTTGTCCTTAGTCAGCTTTTCAATTGACACTGTATTAGTCGTCATTTTCATTTCAGTCGACGCAGCTTGGCTTGCCGAAAGAATTGAACAATGGTAGTAGGACTGCGCAGCTAATTGCTGTCTGGGCACATAACCTATGAAGAATAAAATGACGTCTTCCACATACATGACAAACATTTATTTAAACTATGAAGATGTTGAACAGCAGAGTAGAAACATGATATTACACAGCGTTTTGGACTTCTCTCTTACATGCAATACTCACCATTGACTGTGGTTAACTACGTAGAAAAGTAATACGCAGCAGAGAACGTGCTTATCATGCACATGCGCTAGGGAAATCGACGGCGGTTGCCAACATACATACTGTAAACTATATTATGTCTGTAGAAATAAACCAGAGAGTTATGTGTTACATGAGTGAATGATATTCAAATTTTATGCACCTGATACTATTTCATTTTTAGTGATGTAATAATAAGAAAGAAATTTATGATTTTAAAAGATAAAATTTTTTTATTAAATATTAATAGCATCAAAAGTTACTTCTTTTTTTAATTTATGAGAATACAAACTTTGAATATGTTGACTAAAATGTTTCCTGTAAATATATAGTTTTTGGAATATGCAGAAATATATTATACATTAATGTAATACTTCCAGTTAGAGACTGCATAAGCAAACTTAATTGTTTATTAACTGATTTATGTAACTGCAACTTTATGTTCTTTTAAAGCTAATCATTATTTTTTTAGTTTCTTATATATAATGTATCTACAAATATTCTTACCGTGCCTTTATTTTCACAACCGTTGGTTGTAGACATATATTTATAATTGCAAAAATGTTTAAAGTGATGCAAATTTTATATTTTAATGCATTTAATTTTAAAAAGAAATAAATTTTTCACTTAAAGACAAACTTTTTAT